GTGTGTGCATGAGTGAGGTGTGTGGTGTGTGAGTGTGCATGAGTGAGGTGTATGGTATATGCAGTGTGTGTGTGTGCATGAGTGAGGTGTGTGGTATACGTATGTCAGTGTGTGTGTGCATGAGTGAGGTGTGGTATATGTCAATGTGTGTGTGTGATGTGAGTGTGTGTGTGTGCATGAGTGAGGTGTGTAGTATATGTCAGTGTGTATGAGTGTGCATGAGTGAGATGTGTGGTATATGTCAGTGTGTGTGTGCATGAGTGAGGTGTGTGGTATATGTCAGTGTGTGTGTGCATGAGTGAGGTGTGTGGTATATGTCAGTGTGTATGAGTGTGTGTGTATGAGTGAGTTGTGTGGTGTGTGTGCATGAGTGAGGTGTGTGGTATACGTCAGTGTGTGTGTGCATGAGTGAGGTGTGTGGCATGTCGGCGAGTGTGAGGTGGTGTGAGTGTGCGTGAGTGAGTGCAGGCTGGGTGATCTCTGAGTGTATGTGAGTGTGTCTGGTGTGCATGGAGGCAGGGTTGTGTGAGCGGTGCGGCAGGTGGCTGATATATGTGTTGAATGTGTGGGGTGGGGAGGGAGGCAGGGCAGGGCAGGGAGTCACAGGGCAGCTTAACAAATATTTATCGAGGACCTTCTCGGTGCCAGGCGCTGTGCATGGTGCAGAGATGAGTAAGCCTATGCCCAGGTGCCCCAGCCTGCAGGGGAGGGACAGATGTCAACAGGAAGAGAGGACAGCAATGGGCTTTCGGTGACAACGCAGCCTCTTTACCTGCGTTACAGAGCACGCTGAGGAAGGCCCGCTCACTCCTGAATTGGGGGGGGAGGGGGGAGTGCAGTGGACATCTGGGAACTGGCCAGGGAGGCCCAGACTGCAGCCCCACCCAAACATGGGCGGGTGACCTCCCTCTGACCCACACAGCGACACACCCAATCCCACACAGGCAGATAAGAGGTGACCAGTGAGCTGAGCAGGATCTAACAGCCCAGTCCCGGGCCCTGCCCCTAGGCCACACCAGAGGGGACCCCAAGTGGGTGAGAGAGTGGAGAAGAGTCCTCTCCCCAGCCCCTCCATCTCTGGGTGGGAGTCCCGAGCCGGTGAGAGTCGAGGGCAAAGGTGGTGAACACCCGCAGAGAGGACACCAGGCTAGGAAGGGCCACCTGGGGTTCTGGACTTGCGGTGGGCTTGGGGAGGCTGCGGTATCCTGACTGGGTACACAGTGGACGAGGTTGGAATTGAAGGCTTGAGTCAGGAGCATGTCCCTCTGGGAGGTAAGACGGCCCCCCCAGGGCTGCCCTCTCAGAATACACTGTGGGTGGGCCCCCACAGTCACCAGGCTGATGACCTTGGGCCAGTCCCTGGCTGCCTCAGTGGAATGGGGACACCCAGTTCCCTCAGAGGGCTTCCTGAGACTCCAACAAGATAACGGGTGAGGGCAGCGTCCCATAAACCCAGGACAGCCGGGCGAAGTTCAGGGGACAGTGTGTGTCGCACCACAGCTGCCTCCCAGCCCTGCGCCGGCAGAGAGGACCCGATCCAGGGGCTGGGCTCCTGCTTCTCAGTTCTCAGCCCCCGACCTGCCCCCCCCCCACCGGACCCAGGGTACCCTGAGGGTCTCCCACTACTGCTGTCAGGAGCCATCGCGACTCCACATGGTGCAGAAGCACACCCCACCCGTCTTGCGCCCCCTCACCAGTGTTCCTCGGTTTGAGCACATTGCTGCAGCCGCCGTGTGAATCCATCTCGTCCAGGCCTTCCTCGCTTCCGCTGCCCCTACACATATCACCCAGGAGCGCGAGTGGCCTAGTGGTGGGCATTAGGCTGTTAACCATAAAGTCAGTGGTTCAAAACCACCAGCTGCTCTGCGGGAGAAAGATGGGGCTTTCAGCTCCCATAAAGAGCTACTGTCTTACAGGGCCGCGTTGAGTCTGCATAGACTTGGTGGCTGTGAGTCTGGTTGTTTTCCTACATCACTACGCCTGGCGTAGTCTCACTCACTACCACTGGCTGGATTCCAACTCACCACGACCCTATAGAGGACACGTAGAACTGCCCCTGTGGGTTTCCAAGGTGGTAGCTCTTTAGGGAGTTCAAAGCCTCTTCTTTCTCCCAGGTAGCTGCCGGTGGTTTCAAACTGCTGAAGTTGTGGTTAGCAGCAGCCCAACACATAACCGCTATGCCACCAGGGCTCCTGCATGAAGGATTGGGATCCCGTTTTCTAGTGATGAAGAAAATGAGGCTTCAGGGAAGTGCAGGACGTGAGCCTGGGTCTCACCTCCCACATCTGGCTGAGTGGCCTTAGCAATAGACACCCCCCCCACCTAAAGTGAGGGCCCCCAAGATAATGTACAAAGAGCCGTGAGCACAATGCCTGGGGCACAGATGAGTGCTTTAAGAAATAAAGGTTCCCCCAGCCGGCAGGTGGCCTCTCCAGGATTAGAGCCTGCTCTGGTGTTGTCTAAAACCCACACCCTGGCCAAGTTCACTTGCTCACCCTTCAGAAGGGGAATGTAAGAGACCCATCTTCTTCCAAAATGGCTCCTAATTCTTTCTCAATTCCCTTACTATCTCCAACCAATGTCCCCCTCTGCTTCTGCCTTCCAGAGGAAGCCCCATTGCCAGACACAGATTATACAGCCTTCTCAAAACCCCTCTGGGCGCCCCCTCAGTGAGGGACCAGTGTTTTTAAACCGGACAGCATGTCACACTTGTCCGGTGAGGTTTCAAGGAGCTCTGTGGAATTGGAAGGGCCAGGCTTACGGAAGTTTCCACCACGCCGTTCTGCGTGGCTAGACTGTGGCACACGCAGCAGCAAGCCATCCTTTCTGAAGTCCTGGTTACACTCTGTTCACTGTGGAAACCCTCGTGCCCAGAAGTTCTTCCTCAGGCCAGGCTGCAGGTCAGCCCGCATGCATGTCGCCTGAGTGACCCTGGCCAAGTCAGTCGCCCCACTGACCCTGTTGCGACAGCTGTAGAAGGCGGGCGGGCACTTCGTGGGTTTTTTGAAGCCCCTTCTGCGGAGAAGGTTAAATGAGCACGTGGCATGGAGCAGTTGGCATAGAGAAGGCTGTCAACAAAGGTCAGTTCTTCTCTCTACAAGACCCTAACTCTGACTCCATGTCAGACAGCATAAGCTCTGGTTCCAATCACAGCCAGCCTGGCTGCACTGCGGAACCATCTATTCCACAAGGCCAGACACACAATTCCAGACTTCTTGGGTCCAGCCCCAGCCTGAAAGTGGAAGCAGGCCCAAGGAGCAGCAGCAGCAGGACTGGGCGTGGGTCCTCGGCTTGTGAAGCTCAAATCCTTGCTGTGTGGAGCCTCTTGCTCATTGGTAAGTCCTCCCAGCCCCCCGCCTGCCAGGGGGTGACGGAGCCCCCAGTACATCTGCTGTTGCCCTACTGCCTGCCTCTCTCCTGAAGCCCAAACTTTAGGGCACAGACAGCGAAGACAAAGGTTAGAAAAAGCCAGGAAGGCACTTTTATTGGAGGTCTCTGCCTCTGTCCACAAGAACCCCACCCTGAGGGTCCTGCCGTCACCCACCCCTCCCAGCCCAGCCCAGGGCCTTGACCTGCCTGCCAGTCTGGCCACCGGTGCTCGGTGGGAAAGCAGTGAGGGGACTTGTCTTAGAAAAAATAGATCTCTATGTATATCCAACATATTTATAGCACATAAATTAGGGAGGGCTCTGACCCCCACCCTTGGAGTCCTCACAGGCACGCAGAGGCAGGTGGAGACCAGTGCAGGGACGTCGCAGGCGGACCTGGCCATCTCCTTACACGTGCAGCTCTCCTGGGGCCTCCGGGCCTGCCAGGCTCAGTCCGCCATCCGCAGGAGGAGGGCGCCGCCCTTGTAGCTAGAGAGGCCGCAGCTGGAGCCAGTTCAAACCATAGGCCTTGTAATTCCAATGGGAGGGCAGCACGGAGAGGCCACAGGCCCTGCCTCCGGACAGTGTCCGACACGGATAAACCAGCACTTCAGCTTCTCTCCCCAGAAGCGCTCGGGGGAGCGCGCCCAAACCGGGGTGGCCACCACACCCGGCCGAGTCCATGCGCTTGGTCACGGGTCTCATTCGCACCCTCAGTTCCGAGTCCCGGTGACCTCGTCCTCCTTCCAGCCGCTGGAGTTCTTGCCAAACTTGTAGACGAGCCTCCGGCCGTCCACCCGCTCCAGGATCTCCCGCTTATAGTAGTACCTGGGAGAGGAGAGGGGAGGTAGGTCTCAGGCAGGGTGCTGACGCCTCTCACCTGTCCCCACGGACCCTGGCCCTCGGGGGTGCCGCCTTCCTGAAGTTCCCTCCTCTCTTCTTCCCATGCTAACACACCGGCAGCTGTGGCTAATGCGCTCAAAGCAGGCGTTGCAGGCCGGAGTTTACAGAAGGCTTCTGCAGGCTACGCACTGACTCCAGGAGATCCCTTAATCCGAAGCAGTAGTACCACCAGTGCGCGTCCAGCCAATCCCCACTCACAGCGCCCACTGTGGGTCAGAGAAGCACTGAGCCCCACGGGGCCCTTAATGGCCAATTGGAAGCCGGTCTCCAGGCCTTTCTGCATCCCTCCACCCTGGCGGCTAGCAGCCAAGCGAGTTAACCGCTTGCCCCCGCGGGACTGCCTCCGCGAACTCGGCAGGCACCGCGACCTTGTCTCTCCACCAGCGTTGGTTGGCAGAGGCCTCTGCTGGTGGTGCGGGCGGCGGCTCACCTCATGGCCCGGCTCAGCTTCTCGTAGGTCATGCTGCTGTTCTTCTTCTTCTGCCCCCAGAGCTGGGCCACCGCCTCGGAGCGCAGGAACTTGAAGACGCCCTCGTGCCTGTTCTCCCACTTCATGAGGCCCTCGTTGAGCTCGGGGTGGATGAGGATGTCCCGGATAAACTCCCACAGGTGGGTGCCTCGGGGCGCTGCAGAGCCCAGGTGTCCAGGTCAGGGGAGCCGGGGCTGGGCACCGTGTGACCGCAGCCCTCCTCCCCCTGGGTGGGCGCGCCAGGATGACTGGAAGGCATCTCCCTCCACGAGAGACATTTTATTCTCTCAAACCTCTACCGACTGTGGGGTTCAGGGAGCCAGTGACTGAGATACACTGGTGCCCCAAGGTGCGCCTAGTGCCTTGGGGACCGTGGTTAAAAAGCCCCCAGGCCAAACTGGGAAGAGCTGGGGCAACAAGCAGAGGTGCACAAACAGGACAGAAAGAGCTGGTTGTGTGCGTGAGGCATCAAGCAGAGGGCAGCACCCCGGGCTTTACAGCAGCCCCCCAGGGGCTCTGCAGGGCTGGCCCCTCTGGGCTCAAGCTGGCTTTGGTGGCTAGAAGGATTGCCTGCTCCTTGGGCCCTAACAGGAGCCACTGGGGGGCCCTCAGCCCACTGGGGGCTCTTCACGTGTTCCTCCTCCATCCACTCCTCCCCTGACCCCCCCACCCCCAGCCTCAGTTTCCCTCTGCTCAAGGGCCACCCAGCCAGGTGTTCAGCTCTTCTGCACGAGGGACGAGGGACGGAGAACCCAGGGGGAGGGATGTCCAGTGCGCCCTGCCTCCACCCTGTGGACCGGCTCAGCTCTGCGGGCGCCCGGGAGCTCACCGTGCTTGGCCTTCTTGCCCTCCAAACACTCCCGGGACTCCTTGCTCAGCTTTCTTGGCCGACCCCGTTTTCTCTTCCCGTGCTTGGGGTCCCCCCTCTTGTAGCCCATGAAGTCATCTGTGGGGAGCAGGGGCGCTCAGTGGGGAGGGTCCGGGGCAGGTGCTGGGAGAGCAGCCTCCCAAAGGGACACCCCCTGGGGGCACAGGGGCCTCCCTGAACTGACCGCTGGGAAAGAGCTTGCTGCCGTCAGCGGGATCCAGGTCCACGTCACTCCCACTGGAGTCCGAGGAGTGGGAGCTCTGGGGCGTGCTGGTGCCTGGGGGAGGGGGGCGCAGGCGGTGAGGATCCCAGGACCCGGGTGCCCCAGCTCTCACAGGCTCCAGCCCAGGCAGGCTGGACTCCGGTGGGTGCTGCGAGGGGCTCTCACCAGCAGTGGAGACATCCGAGCTGCCGGGGGAGGGGGCTTCGAGGCCGTGGCTGTTGGGGCTGGGGTAGTACGGGCAGTCTTCCAGCAGCTCCTTGACCAAGGGGCTTTCCTGGTCTGGGTGGGAGAGGGCAAGGTTCAGAGAGACGCCAAGGACCAGGCAGGACAGGGGAGGAGCCCACGGAGGTCTGATGTGGCTAGTTTGAGGGGAGAGGGCCTGGGCAGGTTGCTGGGGAAGTAACTCTAGTTCTCAGGGAGGGGCAGGGCTCTCACCGAAGGGGCCCGAGTCTCCCAGGGTCTCCTGGAACGCCATGCCATCCTTCTCCAGAAACTCAATGATCCAGCTGAGCTCGTCAGAAGAGCTAGCGGCTGTTGGGGAAGGAAGAGGAGGTCAGAGGGGCAGTTGGAGCCGTGGTGAGGGGGAGGGCGCGACACACTCCTTCCCCCCTGGGGTTCCTCCCTGTGCCCTTTGCTTTGGTCTTCGCCCATGCCAAATTCTGCTGGGCCTTCATGAGCAGGGGGCCCGGGGGAGACACAACCCCCTTCCCACTCAGCTCCTGGGCCCCCCAAGGACCTGGGCCTGGACTCACTGAGCTCCCGCAGCTGGGCATGGAGATGGTCCCCCAGAGGCCCGAACACCAGGCGCAGCTCCTCCAGGGCGCAGCTGCAGAGTGTGGCCCCGTCCATGTCGCACCTCGAGAAGTCAATGGAGCTGGCGTCGTACTTGTTCTTCTCCACCTGGTAGCTGATCCAATCCAGAACCTGGGCCCTGGACCAGAACTGGGGCTGCTCCCCCAGCCAGCTGGCTTTCTCTGCAAGGGGCCAGGCACAGCGACCTGGTCAGCCCAGGCCACCTGGGAGACCCTCTAAGCTCCCTTCCCAGCACCCAGCAGAAGCAGGAGACTCTGGGACTCTGACTCCCAGAGAACCCTCCTGAGCCTCCTCCCTGCACAGCACCCATCTATCAGAAGGACGCTCAGCTGGCCCTCACCCACCCCCAGACCCCAACCCTGCGAGACCCACCTGTGCCCTCCAGGGACATCTGTGTGTTGCCCAGGGCCAGCACCAGGTCACTGGTCCCAAAGGAGGCGGCAGGGGGAGCAGACGCCAGAGCAGGGTCCTCCGAGCTGTACATGGCGCTGAAGTAGTTGCTAAAAATGTTGCTGATCTCACAGGTTGCAGCCATGAGCCTACCTGGGGAAAGGAGGGGAGGCCGGTGAGGGGCTGGGCTCCTTGCCTCCGTTCTGCTCTGGTCAAGCCCGGGGCAGGAAAGGCTGCTGCCTAGGTCCCCTCCCCCAGGGTAGGAAGGTGGGCACGGCTGGGGTCTCTTCCAGAAGGGCACAGGTCCTCCTTGCAACGGGTCCCTCTTCAGTCCCAGCCTGGGGCTGACAGTCACCGTGTCCGTGCCAGAAGCCACCCGTCCGCTCGCTATCCGACCTGACCTAGCTCGGCACATCCCCGTGCGGGCTGCTCCCGCAGAGCACCCTTGGAGCACCCGCGGAGCAAGCAGGTTCCAAACTAGAAACGCACCAGCAGATCCCGCCGTTTTCTAGGGGGCAGACGGCAGACCCTTGGGGTGACAGATCAGCTGGGGTCCTACCAGAGGTGTCCAGGTGGAGGTGTGGGCACGGCAGGCTAAAGGGAGAGCAGCAGGCAGGAGACTAATCCAGGCGCCCAAGAGCTTGCCAGGTAGCGCTGAGGAGGCTGGCCGGGTTTACCCCTCCCGCCTAAATAGTGTCAGCTCCTCCCCTGGCGGAGCCTTTATAGTGAGCTTCCCGGCGTAACCTGAGCCAGTGGCTCATTGGACAGAGGGGATTTCCTGGCCTTTACACTGGGCTCTTGGCCCCAGGTGATTTGCATATTATGTGCCACTTGGCCCGGATCCTAGCAGGAGGTGCTGGGAAATCAGGCCCGGCTGGTTTAATGATTGTCAGAGTCTGTAATCCCACACCCTCTGGGGTTGGGCACAGGGCACGGGCCTGGGCCTGGGCCTGGGTGTCACTGGGGTGGGCAACCCCTGCCTCAGAAAATTCCTCTTGGGGGTCAGTCCAGGGATGGCAGGGGAGGGCAGAGGGGGGCGGAAGGGTGGGGCGAGATCTGGCTGAAGTGGGTCAAAGTTAGAGCTGCTACTTGTCCTGAGTGGATTCTGACTGACCACCCGAGTCTGTGCCCCACGGGGTTTCCCAAGCTGTGCCCTCTGGGAGGCCTGGCTCCACGAACTGCTTCCAGTGGGTTTGAACCACCGGTCTTTAGGATCATGGGTAAGCGAGTAACTATTTGTAAACACACACACACACACACACACACACACACCCCACCACTACCCCTGGGACTCCCTGCTAGCCCTAAAGGGGGATCTGAGGACAAAGGAGCATGCTAGAGAGAGGCTACTGAGGCTTAGGAATTTCCCCCTATGAAAGAAACCCAGGATTCTGGTGCAGGCTGGGAGGTCTAACACCAACCAGTACTCCTGGTAGGTAGTGTTGGAGAGGCGGGGTGCCGGCCTAGCCCCGGGCCTCCAGTGCTCCCACTTACAGGGCCCACTCACTGGTTTCCACTTAGTTGGCAAAGCCTTGGCAGCTTTTTCCTGCCTGAGCCCCACCAGCCCGGCTGGGTTTCCGCAGCCACGTGGGGGAGCCGCACAGCTCTCCCGTGGCTGCGTGGCTGCGTGGCTGGGGGCTGCTGGAGGGGCTGCATGCCCACAGGCCCCTGAGCCCTTCCCAGCAGCTCCCCCATCTAGGCACCTCTGCTCCGTTGACCAGCTCATTTGCTGCCCTCTAGTGGCCAGAAACCTGAGTACCTGGGTCACACCGTTCAAAGAATCAAACCATAATCATTCTTTACCGGGCATATTGGCGGTATTCTATTTAGTTTCTGCTCCCCCTCCCCGCTCCCAGCCTGTAAGGGCTGCACAGCCACCCCATTTTACAGGTGAGGGACTGCAGCGTGGGGGGCCACAAGGCTGGCCTAACCCCAGGTGTGTTGACACCTCCTGGCGTTAGAAGCTGTCTTGGAGCCCCAAGACAATCATGTGCCTTCCTATGGGCAGAGCGAGGCCTCAGGTGTGTGGCCGAGACAAGGACCCACAGAGCTGGGTGTCTGGAGCCAGGTTCTGCACTCCAGGCCCCCACCTGTAAAGTGATTTCATCCCCAGCTCTTCCGGCTCTAGATGTCTCTGGTGTGGGATCGTCCCTCACTCCCACCCACTGGCCGGGGCCCAGGGCACACTCAGCGTTGGGGGGTGGAGAGGGTCTTGCTCAAGTTCTGACACCCCCACCCCCACCCCCAAGGGATGGGCTTGACTGAAGATGCCATCCCAGGGGTCCAGCTTCTCCTCTGGTCTCTGAAAGCCCTGCCGTGCTTTGAGAAAAGGGGTTAATGCCCAGGACCCTGCACTGGGCCAGGGGTGGCTGGGGCACCTGGAGCTCTGGGGTAGGATTTTCCCCAGCCCTTCAGGGGGCCTCCCCCAAGGAGCCTGAGGCGGGCACACCCTCTACCCAGTCACTCAGCCTGGAATGTAGGCAAACCGGCTCCTAGCCCCAGGACAGCTCACATGCTCCCCCAGGCCGGGGTGAGGCCAGAAGGGTGTCGAGAGTGATTACCGATCTGCTCCCTGGCCTTCAGGGAGTTTTACAGCAAAATGGAGCTAAGGAGTATGAGCCCTTCCCTCCCAGAATCCTGCTTTCAACAGCCTGGTGCAACTGGGGGAAGATCCAGTGGAAAGGTTAGGGTAGCTTAAGGGACGTGGCGCTCTGTGCTTTGGGAGGTGGCCAGACTCCAGGCCAGTGGTCAGAGGAGCTGTGTAGCCGGCAGCCAGCGGCCTTCTTAATCCCCAGCCAACGCCACGGACAGCCACACCCCGCTGACCTTCCCCACGGAGTGGTGGGGACAGTGACTCTGCCCATCCTGGGGAGGGTGGGGGGAGCCCAGGGCATTGCCCAGTCCTCTGCAAGGCCAGAAACCCCCAGCAGGGCTGCTGGTGGAGAGAAAATGGTGGGGGGCAGGGCGAGCAGGCCAGCAGCGAGGCCAGGACGTGAGGCCTCGGCACATGCCTGGTGTCCACGGGCTGTTTCCAGAGGTCCCAGGTTTTCGTCCAGAACAGGAAGAATAGCCACTGGTCACAAAGCTAAACCGGATCCTGGAGGCACCTGGGAGCTGTCACTGCCAGCCCTTGCCAGAAGAGCTCTCAACTGCCAGGACCTAAAGCAGCACTGAACAGGCGCCCTGGAGGCGCTGTGCATTAGACTTCAGGCTCCTAACCCAAGACCCATGGCTGAAACCCACTACTTCCCAAAGATTTAGTCACTATGAGCTGTAATTGACTTGACAGAAGCCAAAGGGGGTTGGCTTTGGGTTCAAGTAGCTCTTAGGATCCTGAGCTAACTCCCAAGGCCCTCTTTAGACCCACAAGACCCTGTTGGTGAAGCTCTGGGAGCCACATGGGACCAGGCCACCTGGTCACCACTACTCCCTTGCTTTTGCTGAGAGAGAATAATCTATTCAAGGGGTTGCATGCTCTTGCCGGGCTGACTTCACAGGGCCCCCCCAAACCCGACCTGCTGCCATGGCATGGATTCTACCTCATGGGGACCCTGCGGCCTTTCCAAGGTGGTATATTTGAGTCAACCACTGACCTTGTGAGTGCCGCCTAACCCACAGTGCCACCAGGCTCCTCAGTAGGGGCAGAAAGGTAGTATTTCTGAACAGCCCGCCCCCACCACACATCACCAAACTGAAGCTGTTCACGGCTTAGACCCCCACATTGAAGCCAGGAAGACACAACTTAGTGCTAAGTTCTAACGGCTTTTACTCCCCACCCCTTAAACAGTTACCCAGAAACCAAGGTGGGAAGGAGCACCTGCCTTCACAGCACCTCTGTGGACAGTGCCGAACATGGGCAGGGTGAGGCTGCAAAGCACAGCACGCAGCCGCTCCCACATCCTCTCTCCATGTGTTCATGCACATGCGTGCCACCCCCCCTTGCTTAGCCTGGGAGCTAAATAAGTGCAGGGACACTGTCATGCTTTGGGTCCCCTCGAGTGCCCGTCTCGGAACACCCGGACAGAGGGGACTCCTGGCAGGAGAAAGTGAAGTCATTCAATCCATACACTCCACCGCAAGGACTTTCCACCTCAAAACATTTATTAAAGTAAAGATCAAACCGTAAAAAGATTTACCAGAATGCATTCTCTTGCATAGTACCTGAAAAATCAGCAGAGAGAGAGAGAAAGACAGAGAAGTGGTAAAATCCTCTCTGCAGATGGTAAGAGGGAGGCAGGGCAGGGGGCTCGTGCTCTGGTCTGCAGAGACCCGTAGGTGGAGGGCCTCAGCCCAAGCACAGACGACCCCGAGGGGCACACACTTCTAGAAGTTGCCCGGAGAGCCGCAGGTTGCGACAGTCGGAGGCCGAAGAGCCAGAGGTCAGGCGGTGAGGCTCTCACTGCCCTTGGGATCCAGGATCTGCTGCACGTAGCTGACCACGTTGCTGTGGAGCTGGGAGGCGGTGGAGGCAAAGGTCTCCTTGGCGAGGCCCCGGGCCACTTCGCTGCCACTCACCATCGCGTGGTACAGCGGAAGGGTGTACTTCTGCTTCCCCTGCATGAAACACACACACCTCAACCTGAGCAGCCAGCCTCCCGGCCCTGGTGCCCTTGCAACAGGGGTTATGGTCAGGGGCCAACAGGGGCATGGCTCTCCATGCTGCCGGCAAGAGAAGCGTCCCAGAGGGAAGGACGTGTTCTTAGGGGCCAAAGACCCCTGGAAACAGAGCCCCGGTTCACCCCAGTCCAGGGCATTAGGGCGGGAGGTGGGGGCTGACGTAAAGGGGCCCCAAGCTTTCAGAAAGCTGAGGGTGGCCAGCCCGAGTGAATCCACGGTATGCAGGCAAGCAGAGTGACAGCCTTAGCAAGCAGAGGGCTGCATGAAGACCCCAAGTTCTTCAGCATCACAAGCTCCCAGACCCCAGAAGCCTGGAGGGGCCTTCCCAGGACTTGGACATCACCAAGCAGGTCCCCATCTCCAATGGCCGGGAAAGGGTGGGGACGGGGGTAGGAGGTGCGCACTGCCTGCCATCCAGCCCAGCAGCCTATAGGCTCTGGAATCTGATGACTTCCCTGTCAGCCCCCTGTGGCCCTTCCCCTCAGACACCTCTTGACTGGGCGTGACTGGGGGGTATGGACCACAGCTGGTATCTGCCCCAGTCTCAGGGCTTCCCAGGGACAGAGTAACACTCTTATCCCTCACTCATCTCTGTCCCTTGACCACCTGCCCTCTGGCCTTTTTCCAGTCACCAGTTTCGTCCTCAGTCCCCTATTAGTCATCACTCAGTCCCCAGTTTGGGGAGAGTTCTGACCAGTTCTGACCTTCAAGAATGCCCTCACCAGGTGACCTGCCAAACCCTGACACCACCACCCACTCTCCTTCCCTCCACCCCCGCCCCAGTGGACTACTACTCAGCCGCCCTGAGAATGGCACCCTGCCACAGGCTCCAGACAGCAGTCCTGCCTGGTGTCAAGTGGATGAAATACAGAGAAGCAGGGCGGTGGTGTGTTTGGTGATGTCTATTTCCACTGCACTGAAATAAAACCTCAAAATGAAACAGCGAGTGAGCAGAGCTCCCTGGGCTCGATGCCCCCACCCCCACGACAACCGCAGGATGAGGGGCGGGGTCCAGGGGGGCACCTGGGAAGGTCAGAGTACACCTAAGAGCCCCAAGGCTCTGATGAGAGGCTCTCTAGGGCCAGTGTGACTGAGGGACCCACCTGTGCCTAAAGGGGGCAGGGCCGAGTCACCCACCTGACTCTGCAGGAAGGCCTGCACTTTCCAGAACCCCTCCTGGTGGTCGTTCTTCAGGATAATGTGGCCCCACCGAAGCCTGAGCTCCGCATTCCGGGCACTTGAGATGTTTGGATATGTCTCTCCCAGTTTCTTCACATTCCCTGTAAAAGGAAAGTGCCCTGGGTAAGGCTGCCTGTGGAATCAAGTGTCCAGGAATGGACACAGCCCGGCTCGTCCTCAGCCCACCAAGTGTACTGGGGACAGCTCTGTGGAGGTGGCCACCACCCACTGACCACTCACCCTGCTCCCCTCCGGCTCAGAAACGGCAATGTCCAAATGCTTACCATAAATTGACACCTTGTGCTCTTATAAGCATCTGCGTCCGCCCCCACCCCACCCCCATTCCCCTCACAGGTTAAAGCACAGAATGCCCCCCAAATATCCTGCTGTCCTTGTTCTTTGATCACTTGCCTGCTTGCTAAATCACTTTGGCTTTAATTTTTAAGGAAACACAAACACTTGAGGCCGAGTAAATTCAAATCCCAGTCCCACCACTCTGTGACCTGTTTGTGCGGCAAACTGTTACCTGAGGCTCCTACTCACAGCAGCTAACTTCCTTCCACACTCCCACCCCACTCCCAGCCCCCGTTTGCCACCCTGCATGTGGCTGGAACACAGAATGCTATGCCCATGCCTGTAGCAGTTCTCATTCCAGCAGTGCCACCTATGGTGAACAGGTGAGCATGGCGTTCCAACTGAGACTGACTCGGAAGAAAGGCCAGGCAGTCTGTTTCTGATATATTAGCTAATGAAAACCTTCCAGATCACTAGAGCCACCCTGGGAGAAAGATGAGGCTCTTGGCTCCCATAAGGACCCTACAGGCCCCGGGGGTTGGAATGGACTCGATGGCCATGGCCGTGGTTGAAAGTGGCCATGAACCTGAGTCATGTGACCCACCTGCCTACGTCACCGAGTGGTTAGGAGGGTCAAATGACTTAATGGATGTAAGGGCTGTGAAGAGCTGGCCTGACCTGGTCCATCCCCTTCCCCGTGTACACCCCACACAAACCTGTTGCCACACACCCTGCGGAAGAGCAGAGGACGTTGGGCAGCTGCCTAGAGCAAGCATCAAACTTCTCTCCCGAGTCTCCCATGTGCCCTGACATAAGCAGCTCTTCCCAAAGGGAACTGCACCTCAGCTGCAAAAGCCAATAGCCGAGCTCTTCTTACCGGGAGGGAGAGGGGACTTCTCTAGGATCTTATCCAGAAAGTAGATCAACTGATAAGTCTTCCAGGGAGAAATGGACACCGCACCAATGGCCTCTACATCCAGCTCCTCCGCCGCCCAGAGCCGGGCCAGCTCCTCAGCAGGCTTCATGAGGGTGTCCCCAGGGGAGAGATCAGGGAGGTAGGGGGGCCAGCCAGGGATATTCAACCATCGATCGAACTCAAAACCTGTGGAAGAGGAGGGAAGTGTGTGGAGGAGATGTGGTCACATGACCCTGCCAGATCATGGCCAACTTGCCCAGCCAACCCGAGGTACCCTGGGGACTCCTTTCTGCCTCGCTCCATGGCACACACCTGCCCCAGATCTTAACACACTTCCCCCACTCCAGCAGCTCCCAGGTCTAAGATGATTGGCAGCCTGTATCTTCTTTAACTGTGTGTGTGTGTGTTTGTGTGTGTGGGCACGTGAGCGCATGTGTGCGGACACAGGGCGAGTTTCTTTGCTTCAAGCAAACATTACATTGCCATGGTCAAGTCGATGGATGCTTTCCCAGCCTCATTCAAGTTCATGTGCTCTCCCAACTCAGAACAGCCTAGTGTGTCAGCCCCGGCGCCCGGCTTAACTCGGCTGTAACTAGCTGGAAGCCCATGCATGGGCATGTTCCCTCACCTCCGTCTGAGCCTCAGTCCCTTCTGTGAAACTCAAACAGCCCTCTTCCCTGGCCTGGGACACAGTAAGCTGTGCTATTAACTGTGTCATGAAAGTCTGTCACCTTGACATGCAGGCCTCCAACCAGAGTAGGTGTTGCTAAGGCCTGGCCAACCCCAGCTGCTGGGGGAAGGTTGCCAAAAGTGACTCAGCACACAGTATCCAGGAGGGACACGGCTCATGGACGCCCTCAGCTGTGACAGGTCCGTCTTTGTCTCTGTTCTCCCGGATCACAGCCGCCACTGAGTCCCCCGCTCAGCGTTTGCCTGTCCGGGACGAGCACATGGTCGTGAGGCACAGCTGCTGCCCCGGGAGGCTCAGCTGGGGCCCCTGCGGAACTCTCTGGGCAGAGGCCCGATGCGCTATGTGGGTCCAGGTGCAGAGAAACGAGAGAAAGCAGCAGAGGAGCGGGAGGAAGAGAGAGAACCGGAGGCAGAAGGCTGAAAGGCCTGGAGCCTGGGCTCTGCTCCCCCCTCCGAACACGGTCTAGATGCGTGGGCTCTGCCCGACTCGTCCCCAGTGGAAGTGAGCTGCCCTGCTCTCCAGTCTCCTAGAAGCCTGCGGGCCTGTGCTTCTGATTACCTGGAATGGAATCCACTTTTTTTTCCTTCAGCTCAGGGAAATAGTCCAAGTAGAATTCCAGAAAGTCGTCAGCTAAGATACTCTGGAATTTAAATTCATTGACGTAGGCCTGCAGGAGAAGGGAGATGCTCTTCAGGCTCCCCCCAAAGCCCTTGGGGAGCAGCCCCCCTGTATGTCTCAGCCCTCCTCCAACCCTTACCTCGTTTGCCCCCTGCCTCCACCCTTGTACTCTGCTCCTCGTCCTTCTCCCCTCCTGTGAGTGGGGACCGTACCTTGAGGAAATCGTCAAACTGATCCTGATCACCCACCAGGTGGGCCAGGTAGGAGACAAAACAGAAGCCTTTCTCGTAGGGGGTTTCGTTGTAGGTGTCGTCTGGGTCAACACCTGGCAGAAGGAGAACAGGGAGGAGGTGAGCTGTAGTCGCCTGCAGTCCCACTGCCCTCTAGCTCGGGACTCAAAGACCCACTAACAAACACACCCAAATGCAGCTCTCCAGAAACTGCAAGGCCAAGGCTGTTTGCAGGCCCATCTTAAATGACTCCCAAGAGCTTGCTGAGCCACCAGCTGTGCCCCCATCAGAGGAAGAGGAAATCGGTCTCCAAGAGCTGGCAGGTTTGTTTCCCTGTCCCCAGGCCTGAGGCCTGCAGAGACTGGAGGCTTTGCTCAGCAGGGTGCCATCAACGCTAGAGGCTTGAGCAAGGGGCATAGTTCCTTCTCAGGGCCTGCCAGCACCCTCTCACATACCTGGCGCCCCACACCCAGAATCGTGTGTGGTTTGTCCCTACCCCTGTTCTAGACTAAAATGGACTAATTACCAGTCTTCAACAAGTTCATTTCCACAGTCAAGGGCATCAAAGAACGTGAGCTTTAGTTGCACATAAAGGGCCTACACAGAATCAAAAATATCTGAAAAATAAGAAAGCTCTGCACTCGGAGACAAAAGGCCTGGATCGGAGCTCCACCACGGCCTGATTAGGTGCAGGTGGACAAGCCACAGAACCTGCTGGGCGCTCTGTCCGAGTCCTCTGTCAAGTAAGGGAGCACTTACTCTCCGCAGCTCCCGGGGGTTAGAGACCTTGAGATGACGAGGGAATGGGAGAGTGCTCTGTACACTGAGCACACCTGTGCAGAAGTGAAGCAGTGGTACCACCAGTACCACCTGCATGGGATAGGTACAACTCCTATGCTGCTGCACTGGCTGCTCTAAGGCTGGGGCAGGCTTAACACTGCTCTGGAGGCCCTCCCTCCCTCTCAAAGGAGGTCCTCGGAGTGCACGCTGAGACACGAAGCTCCAAGCAGCTGGGGGCTCGGAGCTCCATCAAGGGTGTCAGGCAGAGGACCTGGCTCGATCTTCACTCGGAGCTTGTTGAGTGGGTGGTCCTCGCCAGTGATGTCCATGTGCTGCCGCAGCAAGGCCCGCCCAGTTGCAGCTTCCAAGCAGGTATAAGCAGCCCCTGGAGCAGAGACAAATCAGAGCCTCCCAATCTTTTGTCAGAACATCCACAATCCCCGGGCTGACCACAAGAATAACGATTGACCCCTGAAGTAGCTTCCTGGGGACCAGACAGCAAAAAGGGTCGCTGACCAGAGAACCTGACTTATTCCTGGCACCTGGTGGCTATAAAGAATGGGGGTGGGGTGGGGGTGGGGTGTGGGGTGTGGGGTGTCGTGTGTCATTTACACGCACTCCTCTGAAGGTCAACTCTCCCTGCCAGCGTATTTTTATATTTAGATAGTAAGTGGATCACTGATCTTCTACGATAACGTTGGAATTTTTTCACCTGACTCCTCCTAAAACCCACATTTTCCTAAGCATCTCTAAAGCACCACCTGGCTCTAATAATGCCCAAAGGCATGGTGGGGAAGAAGACTGGGTTATTTTTAACCACTCGGTGCTGCAACTGACCAGACCCTGGCTTTGGGCAAGTGACTTCCCTCTTCCAGCCTCAGTCATGTGCTCAGTGGGGTGGTCACAAGTGCTTGCTCTACAGGAGTCTCAGTGTCTGATTACGAGGCTCGTGAACACCAGGCGATACGTACTTTGGAAGACAATGTGAAATACGTATAAGCTTTATGGGAGGCACTGGGACACTATATACAAGCACCAAAAAGCCTTCAATGTGTTCGGACTCATGAATTATGTCTCTAAGCATTTATCCTGATTGATCTGAAAAACAGCTGTTTGTCCTTGGATTTAGGAGTCGAGCTGTTATGAAGAGAGGCGATAGGTGAACATTAAAACGTGCTCAGTGCTTGTTCTGAGCAGCAAGGGGCGTCCCGGGACGCTCCCACCCTCCCACCCCACCCCAGAACCACCCTCCGCAGCTCAGCACCGGGCCACCGTTGCCATGACCTCTGCTCTGGCTGCGCCGTGGTATGACGTGGCAGGTGAACTCTTGGCGTATGGGAATGGGCAAGAGATTTCCCCACATCGGTGAACGGTAACGGCTTCTTCCCTCTACGCCATCCTGACGGACAGATTTTAGAGAGACACTCGTCTTTTGGAGGGTGGGGGACTGTACCCTCGTTCTCTGGAGAGGGCAAAGACAGGTACGGCGTCTTTTTTGTGTGTGTTTTCCCAGGTATACCAAATACAGCTCCTAATCAGAGAAACAGTAAAAATCACCACGGTCCTATTTTGAAATCAAGGTGTCCACGTGCAGACTGTGGGGGCCTCCCACCTCCTGCAGTCACCAGCCAAGTGGCCTGGGCCACTCATCTTCTCTCATCCCGAGGTGCAGTCCAGCCCAGTCTCTGCAGAGGACATCATGCTTGCTAAAGCAGAGGGGCAGCGACAAAGGCGGCCCTTGGCGAGATGGACAGGCACCGTGGCTGTGACAATGGTCAGGATGGCGCAGGACCGGGCTGTTTCTCTGGCGGGTGTGCTGAACACAGGGTGGCTGTGAGTCAGAAACGCCTCAAGGGCACCCAGCCACACCACCACCACGGTCTAGGGCTGCGTGACCTGCTGGAGGAGGGGCCTTTTTATCGGTGCCTAGCACAGAGCTGGCACACGGGCTCAATGGAAAGTAGTGAGGGTGACAACTCCTTCAACCCAACCAGCCTGGCTAACTCTACCCTGGGGTGACGCCTGGCTGTCGTGAGGAGCGTACTGTGTGGCCTGTGCTGGGATGGGCGGGTGAGAATGGGGCTGGGGAGGTGTGCTTTGAGACAGTGTCACTGGCAGTTCATGCCCTCAACCAGAGTAACTGAGGGTCTCTCACTCCCTTTCCCCTCCAGAAGGGGCTTTGACTTAAGCAGCCACCCCCTTGGTCTAGGTTCAGCTCTCCAAGGACCCGCACTTGAGCGTCTACACCGCCTGCTCCCCGTGTCCACCTCCCAGACGACGCTCACACTGGATCGATCACAGGTGGAGGCGGGAACCCGGGGCTTCTTACCGAAGAGGGTGGTGGAGATCCTCCTCTGGGCATACATGGTGAAGCCCTCGTTGAGCCAGAATTCCCCCCAGTTGGCATTGGTGACCAGGTTCCCAAACCAGCTGTGGGAGATCTCATGGATGATGACGTCTGCTAAGGACCGGTCCCCTGCCAGCAGGCAGGGGGTGACAAAGGTCAGACAAGGGTTCTCCATTCCTCCGAAGGGGAAGGACGGCGGCATGAAAAGCACGTCGTACCTGCCAAGAGAGCGAGTGGTCAGAGGGCGGCTCCCAGAGCAGGGCTCCCGCTCCTGCCTGTGCACCAGCTCCCTCTGGCTCCTTCCAGGCACCCAGGGGACCCGCTGGTGAGTGGGGCCCAGGCTCCTCAGTGCGCCTCCCAGTGTCAACCTGACAAACCAGGGCTTTCTCGTTCACCGTGTTGGGGGGGGAGGGGGCTCTCTGTCCTCCCGCCCCCTGCCCCTCTTCAGGAAGGGTGTGGGCATATTCCTTAGCAGCTCTACAATATTTAAGTCAATCTGGGGTCAAGACCAAAGTGGGCCAAGCTTCTCAGGAGACTAAAGTCTGAAGATGTCAACGGACAACACGGAAGGAGAAAGGACAGCCCCCCAGTCCCTCTCAATGCTCAAACTTAGTGGCTCCCTAACACGGGCAGTGTGAAGCCCGAGTTGCACTCCGGAACCCTCTCCCGGGTTCTCCCCTCAGCAACAATGCAGGAGGCTGGTCGGTCCCGCTCCTTTCCTCTTGGGGAGTGGGAAGACCTTGCTCTAGGGGACACAGGACAAGCAGCAGCACCAGAGGGGAGAGCGGGAGCCCCAGCAGCTTGGTGTTCATAGGAGACACTGGCGCCAACAGAGACCACACCTTCCCCAGACGTAGGGGCCGAAAAGCTTTTCTCCCGTTTCCAGAAATTCTTCTATGACCCCGTTGTACTCCTCCTTGGCAGCCTCAATCAGGCAGGGTTCAGCCCACACCTGGCTCCTACAGACGGGAGAATGGAGACCAGAGTGGTGGTTAGAGGCCATGTGGAGGACCTGACTCTGAAATCACAAGGAGAGACCAAAAAAAACAACAACCCTGGCTTCGGTCTCATATCTGGACCAACTTCAGGGGACAATTTGGTCAGCCACCAGGCCAGGAGAGGGTCAATCAGTGAGAGACTCCTATGGATCCCAAAGCCTGCCCACATCACCGCACCTAATACAAACCCCAAACTGCCTCCCGAAGGTCAACTCAGGGCCCAAATACACCTAAGCTAATGGCTCCACCACGGAAGGTCATCTTGCAAAAGTGGTTTACCTCCCCGAGCCGTGGCTGCCTCCTCTTTAAAACGAGGCATTGCCATTTTACTTAAGGGAGTGCACACACGGTGGCTTCCGGCTCTTGTCTGTTTGTCACACTGCGGTGGCTTGTGTGGTGCTGAGAGGCTGGAAGCTATGTCCCCGGTGTTTCAAATGCCAGCAGGGTCGCCCACAGGGAAGGGGTTTCAGCGGAGCCTCCAGACTCCGAAGACGATGACGAAGAAGGGCCCGGCTCTCCGTTTTGAAGGAGGCAGCCACCGGAGCCCCCACGCGCATCGGAAGCATTTTCAAATGCTGGAGGCCTGGAGCGGAAGCAGAACACTGCTGGAAACACTGCCGGCAGACGGGCCCTTGGGTGCGAGGGTCGTGAAACGTGACGGCAGAAGACGATTTCTGGGAGGGGAGTGAGCCAGGCGGCGTGAGCTGGGGGACGCCTGCGGGAGCAGAGCCTTCGGGAGCTTCGTTTGCTGAAGGGGCACCGCGCCACAGACAGAGGAACAGCTGCCAACGTCTCCTAATGAGTGGAGCTTGCAACGTGCTTGGCACTCATTCAGAAAACGTAAAAGCAGCCAAAAATAACATAGAACCTGTAAGCAACGATGTCCTAGGTATTGGTGGGCTGAAATGGATTGGTCTTGGCCATTTTGAATCAGGAAATCATATGAGTTACTCCGCCCAGAGGAATACTGTCAGGCGTAATGGCGGCATTTGTTGTCAGAAAGGATCGTGCGGAATCCCTCCTGAAGTCCAGTGCTATGTGTGATCAGATGATACCATCTGCTTGCAGAGAAATCCCGTCAATACAACTATCCATGCACCAACCACAAAGGCCAGTGGTGAAGAAACTGAAGAATGCTACAAAAGACTTTAGTTGCAAATTGATCAAACCTGCAATCAAGCCGCATTGCTAGTTATTGGTAAGTGGAATGCCAACGCTGGAAACAAAGAGGAAGGCAGTCTTGGAGAACAGCGGCTCGGTGATAGAAATGAAGCTGGAGATTGCATGACAGAATTCTGCAAAACCAACAGCTTGTTCATGGAGAATCCATTTTTTCAACCCCACAAAAGGCGACAGTACACACGGACTTCCCCAGATGGAGTACACTGAAACCACATTAACTACGTCTGTGGGAAGACACCCCCCACCCCCACTCCAGGAGCTCTGTATCAGCAGCAGCTAAAACCAGACCAGGGTCCATCTGTGGAACAGACCATCAATTACTCATCTGCGAGTCCAGGAGACCGCTAAAGACAGGCGAACAAGTCCACGGGAGCCAAAATAGGACCTGCGTCTGTCCCACCTGAATTCTGAGAACATCTCAGCACACACTTGACGCATTGAACATGAATGAGATTCGCCCTGATGAGCTGCGAGAGGACATCAAGAACATCAACCGTGACAGACTGTGCCTGGCAGGTGACGCCCCGGGTCCTCCCATGTGACACACACAACAGAGAGCCAGATGACAACAGGGATGGGCTTAGGTCAGGGTGGGGAGGGTCTCCGCTGCATTTGCAGAACCCTGGAAATATGCTGGGAGGAGAAGGAGGAACAGGGAAGCTAGCGTCAGCTTTGCAAGCCCAGCTCACTAGCCTGGGGACAGCATTTCAGATTTCAAATCAGAAACACACTAGCAAGCAGTTTGACTGAGGCTCAGCGCCACTGCTCTGGCCAGTGTGATAAGAGGCAGGCCCAGGGTGCAAGGAAGGATTCTGAAGGCCAGGCTGAAGTTCACGGACATCCTTTAGCTTTCAGATTTTATTCCAAGATAAATAGTTTTTCAGCTGGGCAAAGAATGAAGAGGAGGGTGGTTCTGAATGAAGGGAGTACCAAAAGCAAGTCCGAGTGGTGGAAAATCAGTGGGTGATGGGAACAGTTACAAGGGCTCAGCTGCTAACTCGAAGGTTGGTGGTGCAGGGCCCTCCGGGGGCACCTGGGAAGAAAGGTCTGGCAATCTACTGCCCTGTTGGGGAGTGGGGCGCGCTGTCAAGCCCTGGAAACCCTGTGGAGCTGAGCTCTCCCTCACATGGGACTGCAGCTGGCCGCCGCGGTGGACAACTGTGCTGTACGGGGTGGGGGTGGGGACGCAACAGGACATGGAACACGAGCGGCCAGAGAAGCAGGTCACAAAGGCCTTGTTGTCACCTCACAGGACTTGACCCCCAGAGCCAAGGAAGGGCTTTAAGCAAACACAAGCTGTTGTCAGATGTGATTGTGGGGCAGCCCTCTGGCTGCAGAGCATCTATTAAAACAGGTGAATTTCTCCGAGAAAAGCATGTAGGAGCGAAGACGGGACTGCGGACAGGAGGTGGGGGCAGGACACCCGGCCGAGAGTGCACAAAGGACGGCCACAGAGAGGAGGGGTCAGGAACTCCAAAGCCAAGGCCAGTGGTGTCCTGGAAGCCAGAGGCGGGTAAACAGAGGCAGATAAAAAAGGGGTAGAACACAAGATAAGCCCTGGAAGTCCCCTGCAGATTGAGGCCAGTGGCCGCAGGGATTCCAGGAATTTCCAGGGCTGGGGGCGGGGTGGGGCCAGGGAGGGAGGGGGCTAGATGCCAGTGGTGGAAGGAGTGATGAGGTGGAGGTCAAGCGTGGAAGTGGTGCCCCCATGCCCACTCTGGTAAGGAACGAGCGAGGGTCTTGTGCTAAGAGGGGATACAGAGTAACGGGGTTCTTTGGTTTAGGGTGATTCTTGCTTTGTTGTGGGGCTACCAACACCTGGGCCGTGCCTATGGGTAAAAGGAGCTGCTTGAGGGGGTGAGGTGGCAGATTTGAAGGGAGAGTTAAGTGATGAAACCGTCCCAGGGGATCCGGGGATGGACTGACTGACTGCAACCTGTGCTCTGAGGAAGAGGTTTAACTTTCCACTGACGAAAGGCCTCCTCCTCTTGGGCAGACTTTCCCCTCTGGCTGGGAAGCGGATGTCATCATAACTGGGGCGTAAAGGTGTCTCAGTACAGTAGGATGGGGTCACCCACCGAGCGTGAGGGCATGGGGCTCAAACAGGACATGGTAAAGGCAGTGTTGCTGAAAGGGGTGGGGTAGAAAGATCTAGAAAAAAAGGAAGGACCACTGAGCAACACTGAAAGCATACCCAGAGTCAAACAAACTGGTTTTCTTTATCTTGAAAATCACATACAGGTCCATTCTACTTTTCCATAATTCCAACTTTTCACGAAGGGGCCAGAAACGTCAAGTGGTATCAAAGTGCAGGGTTTTCTTATCATTCTTTCCAACACCAAGAGACAGAGGCGGAGGAAGGTGGCTGTAGGATCGTTGTAGCCGCAGGACAGTGAGCAAGATGGCTTAGGCGTGTGCCCAGAACAGGTCATCCAGGCCCCTGGGCCAGAGGGAAGCCAGACAGGAGTAGCCGATGGCCAACATGCGAGCTGTAGTTCTCAGGAAGGGAAGGGAGGCCACCTCCTGGAACGCAAGCAAGGGACATAGTGGGAGAGCGGGAGTGAGGTCATCCGAGAGCTGGCGCTTAGGAGTGTGGAGTCAGAGAGCAGACGAAGCCAGAGGGCCTGACATTTCTACTGCAAGACAGACTGAGTGCAGACTCCTAGGCCGGAGTGTGGCCAGAGGAGGGAGAAGGCTCCTGGGACAGAGGAGGTCTAGAGCCCTTGAAGCGAGGGTGGTGGATGGGTCAGCACGTGGACACGATGTCACCAAAAACGATGTCACAGGGCACCAGACTGAGAGACCACAGCATGGAACGCAGTCTTCCAGGAATTTCTAGATCATTAGCCTAGTCGTCCTAGTAAAAGCCCATCAGCCCGAGGAGCTTCAGCTTGCTGCGGCTACCCGAAGGTTTAAGACAGGCTAGACAGGGACCATTCCAAGATACTTCCATTAATCATCTCACAGGTACAGGGACTGGAATTGGTGTCCCACTTTGCCAGAAGATCTTCCCATTTAGCACACACCACAAGGTAACTATCAGTCCCTGAGATGTGACTCATGAGGCAAGGCCTGCCCATGTGATGGGGGAGAAGAAATGACCATCACCAGGTGAGTGGATTCTGCCACCTGGACTGTTGGACCATGTTGTCATTTTAGTCGAGAGCGCTCGGCAAAATCATGATCATCCAATCTGTTTTGAATAGCCTCTCCTAATTCATTCCAGGGAGCCTCAACAAGGGCACACTTTGGAAAGCGGCATGCCTTGACCTACTGACTTTCCCGTCTGTGGCAAAGATGACAGCGCCTTGCTTCCCCATGATCCTGTCTGCTAGGAACACAGCCACTCTACAGGGGAGGCCTCCCTGGCTCTTCAGACTGACACGGGTTTGTGTGTGCTGGGAGCAGATGTCATGAGAACTACATCTGTCCTTCCATCTGGCCAAGAACTAAGAATCCTGACACGAGTGGGCGGAGCCAGGTGACGAGGTCTGAGCCTTGTAACTAATCTTGTCAAGGACACCCGCCACCACCATACCCCCCCCCCTCCTCCTCCAGGACCGAAGCGAAGGACCAGGGATAAAGAAGGGCACGAGAGCACGGCTGAGGGGCACTGCTCCCTGGCCAGTCTCTGATGCTCTCCCAGCAGGACACCGCCACGCTGGGAGGCCATAGGAGAGCCAGGGGAAAAACAACACTCCTAATCAAATGTGTTTTCTCCAGAAATCTTGGGGGGGGGGGGAAACAACTCCTTTTTTGCCTCCTCTAAATCCACCTCACACCAGAGAGGCAGCCCTGCCACCAGAGGATTCGGTTCGTGCATCTGCCCCTGATAGAAAGATCCGGTTTCCCTCTCAAGAGGGAATTCATGAGATCACAGTCAAGTGTCCAGGATTAAATGCTAGAGAAAATGTGCTAGAGATTTAGTGCAGAGATTTTTTTTTTCCCCAAAAGCAAATATAGAAGCTACAAGGGAATTTACCAGGCAAAGAACTTAATCTAGACTTTAATAAAAAAATCCAAGCTTCTAAAACTGCTGCCTACACAACAATATCCCCCTGCAAGCTGGCTGCCCAGGACGGCAGTTACTGCTGGTGGGCTTCTGATCTCACTGCAGACAGCAGCAGAGGGAAGTGGAGGGAGGGAGGGAGAGGGAGGGGAGGAAAATAGCCCGTCTCTGAGCTGGACTCTCAGCCCCACCCCCACCCCCACCCCGCTGTCCAGCTAGAAACTGCAGCTCACAGAGAAGATCTGCAGGCACTCAAGAACCATCCCAGCAGGTGCACTGACCAGAGTCCTCCTTGCCTCTTAGCCAACCCAACCTTGCTTGTGGGGTCTTTTGACTCCTACCTGGGTCCGACTTTGGCAGAAACCAGATCTCCGACGGCCAGCGCTATCAGATAGGAGGGGATGGGATGACTCATCTGGAAGAAGTACGTGTTCGGCCCTCTCTTCTCCCAGTTGTTAGCACTCATCACGGCTATGAAGCCATCTGGGACCTGACGACAGAGAAAGCTTAGGAGATTCTACCTGGAGAGTCTCCTTCTGATCAGTCAACCACACATGACCAGTGCCCCGTGTGCTGGTCACAGTGACTCTCAGTCCACCGCGGAGAACTCAAAAGACTTTAAGATGGAACCTCGCTACCCCGATGGGATTTAAGGAAGGCTGTATGTGGGAGAGGGCAGACCCAGGTTATGATTTACCAACAGCAACGTGACCCAGCAGAAGTAAACGGATTACTCCCCCGAGCAGGTACACCTCGCCTTAGACCCCTTACCTCAATAAGGGCAGAATATCTGTATTTCACAGCAGGAGTATCGAAGCACGGGAAGAAGGCCCGGTTCAGTACGGCTTGCCCTTGGGTGTAGACAAAGGGCTTCTTCTTTCCTGCCGTCTGCTCGGGAGTCAGCCAGCAGACCTAAGAGCGGAGACCATCTCAGAACCGACAGCCCCGCTCTGAGCCCAGCCTGCCCAGAGAAAAGGGGCTGGCTAACGGGAGAATCTCAGGTTATCCGCAAAATCTTTCGGCCTGCCAACTTGGCCGCTTCTCTAGTACTGCACATTTAATCCACCCTGGGATCCAGGCCAAGGGATGACCCCTACTTCACAGGGGCGCACTCCACAAAGGGCCCCTTCTCCAATCTCCCTTCACCCCTGGGACCTCCGGCCTGGCCTCTGGCCCCGCCAGGCTGCCATCCTCCGTGTCGTTGTCATAGCAGTAGCGTCTCATCACAACACAGGGACCAGAGCAACTGTGTCTGCACTTTGACGAGAGACCAGAGAAAGCAGACCTGGCTGACGGGGGTCACTGATGAATGGGCGCTCTCCATTCCTGACACTGACCTTGCTGGAAACGACAGCGCTTTACAGGCATTAGGCAATTCTTTGTTTTCTGTGAGCCCGTAAACCAGTGGTTCTCAGCCTTCCTAATGCCCGACTCTAACACAGGTCCTCATGTTGTGGTGACCTCCAACCTAACATTATTTTCGTTGCTACTTCATCACTGTAATTTGGCTATTGTTATGAATCGTCATGTAAACATCTGATAGGCAGGATATATTTTCATTGTTACAAATGGAACATCATTAAAGCATAGTGATTAATCACAAAAACAATATGTAATTATATAGTGAAATATTTATTTCTAATGACAAATAAATGAAATTTTGTCTGGAAGCATGGTGTGGCATGGGTAACAGTCTTCCTATAACAACAGCAAACTACACTGCTCCATTTTAGGACAGTATGTGTAAAAAGCCAGCATCAGTGCGGAAGGTTGAGATAGCTTCTTTCTCACCAGATCAAAACTTCTCAGGGCAGCCTGTGCAAGAGCACAGAAAGATCACATTCCCCAACAGAGTAGCTGCTTTCAACGCAGCCGCTGCTCTCTGTACAGGTGTGACTGGTCCACCTAAGCACATGACGGTGCCAACCCTGCCGCATACACCTGTATTTGTACGGGGTGTCTGGGATGGGCTTGGTGCGATGATGTCATCACGCCAGGCACTCCTACGTGTATCTGCATGTGGGCCACCCGCCTGGAGAAGGATAGAGGAGCCGTGTCTCGCTCGGTTCTTAAGACCATGGGAAATGTGTTTGCCGATGGTCTTAGACGACCCCTGTGAAAGGGTCATTCGACCCCCAAAGGAGTCGCGACCCACAGGTTGAGAACAGCTGCCTTAAGCCAAGGGAAAGCCTGAGACAAGTAGAACCCAGTTTTTGCCCACAACAAAAGGCGTTCACTTGCAACACAGACAGAGCTGGTGGGGAACAAAGTCTGCCAAGCACCAAATGCCTTTTAGGACTTAGAGAAGGACTGGACTGTTTCGGGTTTTCACAAGAGAAGCCAGAGGGAGGAGCGGGGTCTCGATGCTGGACAGAAGAGGCAGGCACTGCCAGGGGGTGAGCGGGGTCTGGAGGGAGGCGGCTCTGGGAGCTGCAGGTCTGTTTCAGCTACAGAGCGTGGGAGGCATGAGGGCGCACGTATCACGAAGGACGGACCTTGAATACCTTCCAAACCACCAACAGCCCCAAGGGAGGAAGACGGCCTCTCCACTCCCGCAAACAGTTACAGTCTCAGAAGCGCACAGGGGCAGTTTCAACCCTGTCTCGTTGGGTCACTCCGAGTCGCATCAGCAGGACGGCAGGGAGCTTTCTGAGTGAACACTTGAGATTGATTTAAGAGGCATAAGGCGGGCGCACTGGGCTGCTGGGCTTTTCTGAGTTCCTTGTGTGTGTCTGAAAGTGTAACGAGCCTCTTCTCTGACAGCAGGGAAAGGGGAGTCGGAAGTATGGCCAACGCTACATCAGCGGGGTGCACAAGGTCCGCATGGCATGCTGCTGCTATGTACCCTTGATGTGACAAGGGGAAACTGGCAGCTTGCCTCCGCTCCTGCACTCAAAAGGCCACAAACCGACTTGAGTCATTGATAAAGCCAGCAAGTAAATTTCAATTGAGGGTCATCCTACAAAATACCAGTCTAGCACCCCACTGAATGGCCGAGGGCATCAAAACCAGGAAAATACACAAGCTGTCATTATAAAAGGACAAATATTATTGCGAGTCCACTGTTATGAAAAGCCAAACACTCTTGGATGGTTACCAGAGATGGGAGCAAACATTACAAACTAGATCATTGAGAAAACAAAACCCTCAGAATAGCTGGTGGGTTTGAACCGCAGACCTTGCAGCAGCAGTCCAACACACCAACAGCGAACCACCAGGCTCCATTAGCTCACGTGAGCGGCAAACATTAAAGTGAATGAAGGGACAAGCAATATATAAGGAGGGGTGAGGAGCATACCATCACAGAGGTAAAGGAAGAGCAGGAGACATGCACAAGAGTTACAGATCAGGAAGGTACAGTAAATACTTTTACATACACGTCACACAGTACAGAAATAACAAGCGAGAGCCCATGAGTGGATACAGGCAGACAAGCAGGATGAATAAGGCCAACGGGACTTCAAAAGCTTCATGGAAACATCCCACTGAACTTGTTGAAGCCTCCCCATACACCCATGACCACAAAGAAGTTAGGTCAAAGATAGAGCTACGTATGTATTTGTATGTGCTGTAACTACACCCATGTATAGTGTGAAGTAGTGTTTCCCAAAGTGGGTGATACCTGCCCTGGCGGGGGCGGGAGTGGTGGAAGGAGGCAGGTGCTGGAATGTCCCTGGAGGGCCACAAAGGCAGGTCCTACACTTTACCCTAGATGAAGGGGTATAGTACACAAGTTTTATTTATCTATCTATTTATTTATTTATTTTTGTGCATAAGTTTTTAATTGCTTTTAATTGCTAGAGGGTTGTCAGGTATTTGTTTTTCTGTAAAGGGGGCAGTGGGCCAAACGTTTAGGAAGCTATGTTACGGAGCAAACAGCTAAGAAAACGTCTTCGTCGCTGGGCCTGGAAACGGAGAACTACAATCCTGAGGGGCAGCACGGTCGTTGGCCTGACTTGAGGCGCAGCGATAAAGCTCTATTGCAGTGGTTCTCAACCTTCCTCACGCTGCACCCCTTTCATGCAGTTCCTCATGTGGTGGTGACCCAACAACCATAAAGTTATTTTCATTGCTACTTCATCACGATCATATTGCTACTGCTATGAATCGGGCGACCCCTGTGAAAGGGTCGTTTGACCCCCAGAGGGGTCGCGGCCCACAGGTTGAGAACCACTGCCCTACAGCCAACTTTGGTTGAGTAGCAACTGGCGTCTCAAAGCTCACAAGGGCCATCAAAGGTGCACTTAGTGGTCCCTGCCTGTCTGGAGCAAAGAAGAGTGAAGACAATTAAGAACTCCTGGAAATAATTCATCCAAGGACTGACTAATTGAAGCTCAGCTTCACTTGAACCCGAGCTTCCATGACTCAGGGACAAGAAGAACAATGTGGAACAAAACGCAAAATCTTAAATAAATAATAAATAAACCAGCCTTACTGGGTGGAGACTGTTGGGACCCCTGAGGCCCCAACGGTCCTGAAGACACCCTCTAAGCTCGGAACTGAACTCTGACCTCCATGGCTCAACTTTCAGCCAACCAAGAGAGCACTACCACTACGGAGTTTGTCAGCCCTTGGAAGGATGAACGGGGCAGAGGGAAAGGGCGGCAGTGGCCTGGGGCCAAAAGGCTGGAAGGGAGAGGAAAGGACAGATGGAAAGGGAAGCACAGGGGCTATAAACAGGCAGAGACCGCAGCCCTGACAGGAAGGGCAGTGGGTCTGAACTGTTGGGTGTTAAACCACTGGACCGTGTGCTTTCACTTAACTCACCAAAAAAAGCTAGGGAAAAATTAGACAAAAAGAACCCGAGAGAGCTGACAGTGCAATATCCCGTGGTATCCTGAATCTGACCGCGGCAGAGAAAAAGACAGCACATAAAAACTAAGGAAATCCGAATGCTTGTGAGCTCTACTTACTATCAGTGATCTCGCGGCACTCACTGTAACGTATCTTACACCACCAGGGTAAACCCTTAGCAGTAAAGGAAGCTGCATGTGTCTACCTGCTCAATTTTCGTGTTAGTCTAAAGCTACTTTAAAAAACAATCAATAGATAGTGGGTGAAGGGAGACGTCGGACAGTGTAAGACATGACAAAATAATAATGATTTATAAATTATCAAGTGTTCATGAGGGAGGGGGGGAGCAGGGAGGGAAGGGGAAAAATGAGGAGCTGATACCAAGGGTTTAAGTGGAGAGCAAATGTTTTGAGACTGATGAGGGCAACAGATGTACAAATGTGCTGACACATTGATGTATATATGGATTGTGATGAGTTGTATGAGACCCCAATAAAATGATTTTTTTAAAAAGCAGCACATACAAGATATTATAAAGAAAAAGACAGTATCTAGTGAATATTCTAGGTGAAAATGTGTTATTTCCGGGTCCTCATTTTGGAGTTATATGTAGAATCTAGAACAGTGAATTAAAATCTTTTTGGTAATGTAAAAAAAACACCCACCACCAATAATTAATTATTGAATTATGCTAATCCCACTCAGGGCACTGCGTGTCTGTGTGTCAGACTGGACGTGTGCTCCAAGGGGTTTCAGTGACTGAGGTTCCAGAAGCAGATCATCAGGCCTTTCTTCTGAGTGCTTCCGGGTAAATGTAAACCTCTGCTCTTTTGGTTAGCAGCCAAGTTTGCATCACTCAAGAGTAAAGTCTGTCAACTAATCAAAGTGTAACTGTAATGTATTAGCAGTAAGAACTAACATGTAAGCGAATCCTCACTATTCCAGGCAAGAGTAAAACCAAAAGCATTGCTACTAGGGTCCCAGGCCACGTATGTAAGGGTTCATTCCAAATGAAACATACGTATAAACACGCCTCTGGGATCAGTGGTTGGCTGCTGACAAGTTCGCTCGGTAATACAATTATCTGTCTCCTTGGGCGTCTTCAAAAAAAAAAAAAGGGGTCAAATCAAAGCTGTGGCTTTTGAAAGGACTGACTAAGCCAGTTAAATTCAAGGTGGAGAGATCAACTGATCTTGAGTTTCCAAAGGAGTCATCTTGATACATTTTCTCAAGGGACACAGGGCTATCACCCGGGCTTATTAAGACACATGCTTAAGAAAACTGCTAATTGCATTAGTGAGAAGATAAGGACAGTTGAGCACAGCCATCTTTTCCATTACAATGTTCCTTACTCATTTTCTTCCATGACAATGCGCCTACTCATTCATTCCTCAATGATAACAAGGGCTTGCCTTTGTCAGGAATTACTCCATCCACCCTCCGGGGCTTATTTCACCTCTCAGACTTCTTCTTGTTCCCAAATCTCAAAGATCAGCGATAAGGAACATGAACTGAGTCCCCTGAGGAACCAGGCCCTTCAGAACTGTAGGTATACAAGCTCAGATGGAAGATGTTGAGAAAGAATCCCTTCACCTTGTGGTCTGTGTCTAGTAGAGGGTCCAGTTGTTTTGCAGCAATGCTTTTTTCATTTCACCTGTGTAGTGAGGGCAAGCACCTAGACCTAAGGCCTTCACATCTTAATAAATACTGACCATTACCCCTCTGCCACAATCCCTGACTCATCATTTTTGCTAGAGTTTAAAAGAACAGCTGCTACTGAGCGTGAAGCCAGAGAGAGGCTGCTACCTAGAGTGACCAGATTACGATGCTTCACTGGATGGTGGTAATGAAGGGAAGGAAAAACCGCCACCGCCACTAGTGGACACCTTCCCAGGGCAAAGAAGAGTTCTTGGTGACATGTGGACTATCAGGTCTCAAAGTTATTCACTGTGAACGAGGTGGCTTGGAGTGGAGACCCAAAGCCCATCTGTAGACAACTGGACATCCCCTCACAGAAGGGTCACAAGGAAGGGGCAAGGATAGCACTGACAAAACACACAACATTCCTCTAGTTCTTTTTGTATTTTTATTTTTTGCCGCCCCCCCCCCACCTAGTTCTTTAATGCTACCCACACACACACACCAACTACCATGACCCTAGTTCTTTCTTACAAATCTGGCTAGACCAGACAATGTACACTGGTACAGTTAAGAGCTCTGGACACACAGAATCCAGGACAGCTAAACCCCTCAAGACCAATGAGAGTAACGATACCATGAGTACAGGGGGAAGGTGGGGAACTGATACCAAGGGTCCAAGTAGAAAGAAAATGTTTTAGAAATGTTGATGGCAGCATATGTACAACTGTGCGTGAGACAATTGATGTATGGATTTTTATAAGAGCTGTAAGAGTCCCCAATAAAGTTATTTATTAAAAAAACATAAGAGAAAGAATAAAAATAAGTTATTCACTTCTGATGTCTCATATGAGGCGCCACATTCAGCAGGCCAACTTGGAGGGGGCTCGTTTTTCCAGGCCCCTTGTTGAATGTTTGCTTCCAGCCCCAAACCGGAAATGAACTGTAACAGAGCCACCAAACATTTACAGATCTATGCTATCCCTAGAGTACCAGAGTTCTGGGTGCTTCCCTTTGCCTTAGCAGTTCACACTCAGTTTAAAACAAAACAAATATATATGTGTATATATGTGTGTGTGTGTATATATGTGTGTGTGTGTGTGTGTGTTCTAAAACATTTTAAAAGTCATTATATATTTAATTTTTAAAGATCTTTGTCATGAGACCAGAAGAACTGGATGGTGTCCTGCTAAACATTTGGGTCAAAGATTCCATTAAAGAATCCTGATGGGGGGTAGGGGGGGAGACAGGCAGAACCAAATTTCAAATTCTCACTCCCTATTTCCTGGCATCATAAAGGATAAATGAATCCCTAAAATTATGACCCTGGGATTATCTCTAAACCAAAAATATCCCCTAATGTCTTCTCAAAACCAAACATCAGTTTAGATTAACTCCTGAAAACTGTGTCTTGAACATTACGCTCTTTAAGAACTATCTCTAGGGGATCAAAGCGCCTGGTGGCATAGCAGTTATGCGCTGGGCAGCTAACCACTAAATCAGTCACTGCAGCAGAGAGATGAGACTTTTGACTCCTGTCAAGGGTTACAGGCTCGGACACCCACAGGGCCGGTTCTACCCTGCCCAATAGGTCAAAATGAGTCAAAATCCACTTGATGGCTGTGAGGCTTTGTTTTGTTTCTTTGCAGGGGATCAAAGAGACAAACGGCAACTCTAAAGATTAGACGGGAACCAGAGGAGGGCAATGAATTCATGTTTATGAAAAATAATCCTAAAAAAGTGAGCAAAAGTTTTTAAAAATAAAAATTTTTAATGGGCAAAAATGGTTACTCAAAAAAAAACAAAAACCCAACCCCAAACTCACGGCCATCTAGTCAATGCTGATTCACAGCGACCCCTTGAGTGCTTCCTGAGACTGTTTACAGTGTGGACAGCCCGGTCTGTCTCCCTCCGAGCTGCTGGTTAGCAACCTCATTCCCGTCACTGAATAACACATGTAGAAACTATCTGAATCAGTACATGCTTTGCTGTGCATGTTCCTGACAAAAATAAAATGTGTGTGTATAAGTCATAAGATTCATTTATTGCACCAATTGTAAAAGAACAAAAATGCCCTTTGAGCCAGGTCCAGCAGCAAAGGAAACGCACCAGATAAGCAGATTTCAATCACAGGCTAGTAGTGAACTGTGAAATGCCCAACCCACCCTCTCTGAGAAATGACTAGCAAGGACCACCAAGTTTCCTATCTGGGCCATATTATTTCCACCTTCCTATTTCCAGTACCAGGTTCAGTCTCGAAAATCCACAGGGGCAGTTCTATCCTTTCCTATGGGGTCTCCATGATTCAAAATCGACTGAATGGCAGTGCAAGAGTGAGTGTTTCCAGTACCTGCCCAACCACACACACTCCCAAATTGACGATCTACAGAGGCAACCAACAGTGAAAAGACAAGCCCCAAGTGAGCATAAACACATCTTTAAAAGTAAAATCTCACTGCCATTCAACTCCAGCTCTTGGCGATCCCAGTGGTCAGGACAGAATTGTCCCTATGGGTTCCCAAGATGGTTAACTCTTTACCGTAGCTAAAAGCCTTGTCTTTCCTCCATGGAGCAGGTGGTCGTCTTGAACTGTCAACCTTGTGGTTAGCAGCCCGTAACCAATATGCCACCAAGGCTCCGTAAAAGTTTTAAAACAAACGAGCAAACAAACCAAGCCTGTTGTCTCTGGTCGAATGCTGACTCATAAGGGCTCTATAGGGAAGGATACAGCTGCTCTATAGGGCTTCCAAGACTGCCAATCCTTATGGAAGTTAGCAAACGTGAAGCCGCTGCGCCCCCAGACATCCTCAGAAAGGTACATCCTAACTCAAGGTCTCCCTTGTCCCCTGATTCTTCTGTGTGTCCGATCTGGGCTTTCACAGGAGGGAACAAAAAAGTTAGATACCAGGGATTCTGAGCTGTTTCGGCCACTCGGGCAGAGCGCCGAGTCAGCACCTGGCTGGGGGGTGGTGCTAAAAACAAGCCCAGGGTTGGGGGGGCAACGCCCCCAGGCGGCAGCTGGAGTGCTGAGATCCTCTGGTTATCCGGAGGGGGGCAAGCAGAAGACGGAGGCCGGCGGCCGGGAACCCAGAGAAAAGTGCCAACTAAAGCGGGGTGAGGGGGAGCGCCCCAGCCTTCCCTGGTGGGGTGGGGGGAGGGGGCACTCACCCCGGGTCCCTCCCCGACGTGGTAGGTGAGTCGCACCCGGAACCGCTCGCCAGCGCGGCAGCAGGGCTGGGGCAGGGTCACGCACAGGGCTTGGCCGTAGTGGGAGAAGGGCCGCGTGTGGAAAGGCACGGGGTCTTCGGGCGGCTCCCCCTCGCGGGCGGGCTGCTTTCGCTGCAGCCCCGCCGCCTCCACCTGGACGCACGGGTGCGAGTCGAGCCGGAGCTCGGGGGGGCCCTCCGGCACCAGGCAGCGCAGGTCCAGAGCCGCCGAGCCGCTGAGCCTCCGGCTCCCCGGGCCGGGCCCCGGCGGCCCGAACTCGACCTTCAGGTTCAGGTGTAAGTGGAGGATCTCGTAGGCCCGGACACTGGAGGCCGAAGCCACGTCCTGGGCCTCCTCCGAGTGCAGCCGGCGGCCGGACGCGCCCCCGCCCGCGCCGCCAGGCGAAGGCCCGCAGTTGGCCATGGCGCTGCCGCGTCGCGTGCCCCGCAGCCTGGGAAAGCCGGCCGGAGGCTCCTTGAACGGCGAGCTCCCGCCCCTGAGCACCCCAAACGCATGCGCCCCAGAAGGCCACGCCCCTCCGACGCTCGCTTCCTGTGGACACGCCCCCTCCCGAATTTTCTCTACCCTCTGAGCACCGCTTCTTGCTATAGACAAGGACCTTTGCTGTGTTGGTCTGGGTTGACTAGAGAAGCAAATTCAGAGACACTCATATGGGTATAAGACAGCTTTATATAAAAAGTAGCTGTACGTTAAGAAACATCCCTAATCTATTAATCCCTCTTCAGACTCGCGCAACACACGCAATGATGCCAAATGCATGAGAACCACAGGCAAAGTGGGTAGTGAGTCTTGCGGATCCAGTGGCGGTGGAAGCATCTCAGCGC